ACACACACACACACACACACACACACACACACACACACACACACACACACACACACACACACACACACACACACACACACACACACACACACACAAACACACACACACACACACACACACACACACACACACAAAACACACACAAACACACACACACACACACACACACACACACACACAAACACACACACACACACACACACACACACACACACACACACACACACACACACACACACACACACACACACACACACACACACACACACACACACACACACACACACACACACACACACACACACACACACACACACACACACACACACACACACACACACACACACACACACACACACACACACACACACACACACACACACACACACACACACACACACACACAAACACACACACACACACACACAAACACACACACACACACACACACACACACACACACACACACACACACACACACACACACACACACACACACACACACACACACACACACACACACACACACACACACACACACACACACACACACACACACACACACACACACACACACACACACACACACACACACACACACACACACACACACACACACACACACACACACACACACACACACACACACACACACACACACACACACACACACACACACACACACACACACACACACACACACACACACACACACACACACACACACACACACACACACACACACACACACACACACACACACACACACACACACACACACACACACACACACACACACACACACACACACACACACACACACACACACACACACACACACACACACACAAACACACACACACACACACACACACACACACACACACACAAACACACACCTCGTATTTATAAACCTCGATGACGTGAACCGACTGAGACGATCTGAGATCTGAAACAACAACAGGAACCAGGATCAGAACCAGGATCAGAACCAGGATCAAAACCAGGATCAGAACCGGACCAGGATCAGAACCGGACCAGGATCAGATCCGGACCACAGAGAGACTGACCCCAGATCCTCACGGCTCCGTCCTCGGACCCCGACAGGATCTGACCCTCGCGCTCTCGCTCACACACACAGTGGATGTAATCCTGATGCCCTCCCAGAACACCCTGCAACACACACAGGGTTAGACCAGGACCAGACCAGGACCAGACCAGGACCAGACCAGACCAGACCAGGACCAGACCAGGACCAGACCAGGACCAAGACCGAACTTTACCTTAAACACTCCGGTCTCCAGATCCAGGACGTGCAGGTTGTTGTCTCCTCCTCCAACCACCAGAGAGTTCTCCTGAAGAACACCAGAAAAACCAGGACTAGACCAGGACTAGACCGGGACGAGACCGGAACTAGACCGGAACTAGACCGGGACTAGACCGGAACTAGACCTGGACTAGACCGGGACTAGACCGGGACTAGACCGGGACTTACTTTGGAGAGGAGGACCATGGCGTTGATTTCTGGGATTTCCAGCCCGAGCCTGAAACACAGAGACAGACTCAAGTTTAGACCAGGGTCAGACCAGACTCAGGTCCAGGGTCAGTCTGGTCTCTGGTCTGTGGTCCGGTCTGTGGTCAGGTCTGTGGTCCGGTCTCTGGTCTGTGGTCCGGTCTGGGGTCAGGTCTGTGGTCCGGTCTCTGGTCTGTTGTCCGGTCTCAGGTCTGTGGTCCGGTCTCTGGTCTCAGGTCTGTGGTCCGGTCTCTGGTCTCAGGTCTGTGGTCTGGTCTCTGGTCTGTGGTCCGGTCTCTGGTCTGTGGTCTGGTCTCTGGTCTGTGGTCCGGTCTCTGGTCTGTGGTCTGGTCTCTGGTCTGTGGTCAGGTCTGTGGTCAGGTCTGTGGTCTCTCTGGTCTGTGGTCTCTGGTCTCTGGTGGTCTGTGGTCCGGTCTCAGGTCTGTTGGTCCGGTCTCAGGTCTGTGGTCCGGTCTCAGGTCTCAGGTCTGTGGTCCGGTCCTCTGGTCTGTGGTCCGGTCTGTGGTCAGGTCTGTGGTCCGGTCTCTGGTCCGGTCTGTGGTCTGGTCTTCTGGTCTGTGGTCCGGTCTCTGGTCTGTGGTCTGGTCTCTGGTCTGGTGGTCAGGTCTGTGGTCAGGTCTGTGGTCCGGTCTCAGGTCTGTGGTCCGGTCTCTGGTCTCAGGTCTGTGGTCCGGTCTCAGGTCTGTGGTCCGTCTCAGGTCTGTGGTCCGGTCTCAGGTCTCAGGTCTGTGGTCCGGTCTCTGGTCTGTGGTCCGGTCTGTGGTCAGGTCTGTGGTCCGGTCTCTGGTCTGGTCTGTGGTCGGTCGGTCTCTGGTCTGTGGTCCGGTCTCTGGTCTGTGGTCCGGTCTCTGGTCTGTGGTCCGGTCTCTGGTCAGGTCTGTGGTCCGGTCTCTGGTCAGGTCTGTGGTCCGGTCTCTGGTCAGGTCTGTGGTCCGGTCTCTGGTCTGTGGTCCGGTCTCTGGTCTGTGGTCCGGTCCTCTGGTCTTGTGGTCCGGTCTCTGGTCTGTGGTCCGGTCTCAGGTCTGTGGTCAGGTCTCTGGTCTGTGGTCCGGTCTCTGGTCTGTGGTCCGCTCTGTGGTCCGGTCTCAGGTCTGTGGTCCGGTCTCTGGTCTGGTCTGTGGTCCGGTCTCTGGTCTGTGGTCCGGTCTCTGGTCTGTGTCCGGTCTCAGGTCTGTGGTCCGGTCTCTGGTCTGTGGTCCGCTCTGTGGTCCGGTCTCAGGTCTGTGGTCCGGTCTCTGGTCTGTGGTCCGGTCTCTGGTCTGTGGTCCGGTCTCTGGTCTCAGGTCTGTGGTCCGGTCTCTGGTCTGGTCTGTGGTCCGGTCTCTGGTCTGTGGTCCGGTCTCTGGACTCACTTGTAGTCCGGGCGTTTGGTCCACAGTGGTTTCACGTTCTGAAAGAGACGCAGTAAAAGTACTTATACTGTAGTACTGAAGTACTGATACTTTGCAGCTGAAATCCCCCACAGTGTGTGAGACGCTAACTGAACGCACTGCTCTGTCTGACTGTTCCCCTCTCAACACTTGTATCACTGAACACAGAGTGTGTCGGAGTGTGTCGGGGTGTGTGGGAGTGTGTCGGGGTGTGTGGGAGTGTGTCAGAGTGTGTCGGAGTGTGTCAGAGTGTGTGGGTGTGTGTCGGAGTGTGTCAGAGTGTGTCGGAGTGTGGGTGTGTGTCAGAGTGTGTGGGTGTGTGTCGGAGTGTGTCAGAGGTGTCGGGTGTGTCGGGGTGTGTCGGGGTGTGTCGGAGTGTCGGGTGTGTGGGAGTGTGTCGGAGTGTGTGGGTGTGTGTCGGGGTGTGTGGGTGTGTGTCAGAGTGTGTGGGTGTGTGTCGGGGTGTGTGGGTGTGTGTCGGGGTGTGTGGGTGTGTGTCGGAGTGTGTCGGGGTGTGTGGGGTGTGTGTCGGGTGTGTGGGTGTGTGTCAGAGTGTGTGGGTGTGTGTGTCGGGGTGTGTGTGTCGGGGTGTGTCGGAGTGTGTCGGGGTGTGTGGGAGTGTGTGTCGGGTGTGTCGGAGTGTGTCAGAGTGTGTCGGGGTGTGTGGGTGTGTGTCGGGGTGTGTGGGTGTGTGTCGGAGTGTGTGGGTGTGTGTCGGGGTGTGTGTCGGGGTGTGTCGGAGTGTGTCGGGGTGTTGTGGAGTGTGTCGGGGTGTGTCGGAGTGTGTACGAGTGTGTCGGAGTGTGTGGGAGTGTGTCGGGGTGTGTCGGAGTGTGTCAGAGTGTGTCGGAGTGTGTGGGTGTGTGTCGGAGTGTGTCGGGTGTGTGGTGTGTGTCGGGGTGTGTGGGTGTGTGTGGAGTGTGTGGAGTGTGTGGGTGTGTGTCAGAGTGTGTGTCGGGGTGTGTGGGAGTGTGTCGGGGTGTGTGGGTGTGTGTCGGAGTGTGGGGGTGTGTCGAAGTGTGTCGGGGTGTGTCGGGTGTGTCAGGGTGTGTGTCAGAGTGTGTCGGGTGTGTGGGAGTGTGTCGGGGTGTGTGTGGTGTGTCGGTGTGTCGGAGTGTGGGTGTGTGTGGGAGTGTGTAGGAGTGTGTCGGGGTGTGTGGGAGTGTGTCGGGGTGTGTGGGAGTGTGTAGGAGTGTGTCGGGGTGTGTCGGGGTGTGTGGGTGTGTGTCAGGGTGTGTGGGAGTGTGTCGGGGTGTGTAGGAGTGTGTAGGAGTGTGTCGGGGTGTGTCGGAGTGTGTCGGGTGTGTCGGAGTGTGTGTGGGTGTGTGTCAGGGAGTCGGAGTGTGTCGGGTGTGTAGGAGTGTGTAGGAGTGTGTCGGGGTGTGTCGGAGTGTGTAGGAGTGTGTCGGGGTGTGTCGGAGTGTGTGGGTGTGTGTCAGGGAGTGTCGGAGTGTGTCGGGGTGTGTAGGAGTGTGTCGGGTGTGTGGGAGTGTGTCGGGGTGTGTAGGAGTGTGTAGGAGTGTGTCGGGGTGTGTGGGAGTGTTGTCGGGTGTGTCAGAGTGTGTGGAGTGTGTCGGGGTGTGTGGGAGTGTGTAGGAGTGTGTGTCGGGGTGTGTCGGGGTGTGTGGGAGTGTGTCGGGTGTGTCAGAGTGTGTGGGAGTGTGTAGGAGTGTGTCAGGGTGTGTGGGAGGTGTGTCGGGGTGTGTCGGGTGTGTGTGTGTCGGAGTGTGTGGGAGTGTGTCGGGGTGTGTCGGAGTGTGTCGGAGTGTGTGGGAGTGTGTGGGAGTGTGTCGGGTGTGTCAAGAGTGTGTCGGGGTGTGTGGGTGTGTGTCGGGGTGTGTCGGAGTGTGTGGGAGTGTGTCGGGTGTGTCAGAGTGTGTGGGTGTGTCGGGTGTGTCGGAGTGTGTGGGTGTGTCGGGGTGTGTCAGAGTGTGTGGAGTGTGTCGGGGTGTGTCGGAGTGTGTGGGAGTGTGTGTCGGGTGTGTGGTCGGAGTGTGTGGGAGTGTGTCGGGGTGTGTCAGAGTGTGTGGGAGAGTGTGTGGGTGTGTCAGAGTGTGTGGGGAGTGTGTCGGGGTGTGTCGGAGTGTGTGGGAGTGTGTCGGGGTGTGTGTGTGTGTGTGTGGGAGTGTGTCAGGTGTGTGGAGTGTGTCGGGGTGTGTCGGGTGTGTGTCGGTGTGTCGGGGTGTGTCGGAGTGTGTCAGAGTGTGTCAGAGTGTGTGAGTGTGGGTGTGTCGGGGTGTGTGTGTGGAGTGTGTCGGGTGTGTCAGAGTGTGTGGGAGTGTGTGTGGAGTGTGTAGGAGTGTGTCAGGGTGTGTGGGAGTGTGTCGGGGTGTGTCGGGGTGTGTCGGAGTGTGTGGGAGTGTGTCGGGTGTGTCGGAGTGTGTCGGAGTGTGTGTGGGGAGTGTGTCGGGGTGTGTCGGGAGTGTGTCGGAGTGTGTGGGAGTGTGTCGGGGTGTGTGTGTGGGGAGTGTGTCGGGGTGTGTCGGTGTGGGAGTGTGTCGGGTGTGTCGGAGTGTGTCAGAGTGTGTGGGAGTGTGTCGGGGTGTGTCGAAGTGTGTCGTGGGGGCGATATCTGGACATTTTAAATACATCTATAAATCCATACGATTCTGACGTATCGGTTATATCGATATAATGTTTATGTTTCATTCTGATTTCGCCGCTTCGCTCGTTTGTTTTTCTGTGTTTTCTTGTGTCTCGTCCTGAAAGACCAAAGTTGTTGCCAGTGAAAAACTTCAAGCCCCAAAAAACGTTTCCACCATTTACAGACTCACCACCAGCAGAACATCCACTGTCACAGAGAGAACACGCATATGAACACTGAGTCGAGTCCTTTAGTCCAACAGAAACTGCATGTCCATGTGTAGTACTGTGTAGTAGTGTGTAGTACTGTGTAGTAGTGTGTAGTACTGTGTAGTAGTGTGTAGTAGTGTGTAGTAGTGTGTAGTAGTGTGTAGTAGTGTGTAGTAGTGTGTAGTACTGTGTAGTAGTGTGTAGTACTGTGTAGTACTGTGTAGTACTGTGTAGTAGTGTGTAGTAGTGTGTAGTAGTGTGTAGTAGTGTGTAGTACTGTGTAGTAGTGTGTAGTAGTGTGTAGTAGTGTGTAGTAGTGTGTAGTAGTGTGTAGTAGTGAGTAGTAGTGTGTAGTAGTGTGTAGTACTGTGTAGTAGTGTGTAGTACTGTGTAGTAGTACTGTGTAGTACTGTGTAGTACTGTGTAGTAGTGTGTAGTACTGTGTAGTAGTGTGTAGTAGTGTGTAGTAGTGTGTAGTACTGTGTAGTACGTGTGTGTAGTGTAGTAGTGTGTAGTACTGTGTAGTAGTGTGTAGTAGTGTGTAGTAGTGTGTAGTAGTGTGTAGTACTGTGTAGTAGTGTGTAGTAGTGTAGTAGTGTGTAGTAGTGTGAAGTACTGTGTAGTACTGTGTGTAGTACTGTGTAGTACTGTGTGTAGTACTGTGTAGTGTGTGTAGTAGTGTGAAGTACTGTGTAGTACTGTGTGTAGTACTGTGTAGTAGTGTGTAGTACTGTGTAGTAGTGTGTAGTAGTGTGTAGTACTGTGTGTAGTACTGTGTAGTAGTGTGTAGTACTGTGTAGTAGTGTGT